GGGGGGGGGGAAATATTTGTAGATTGGCATGCCTCAAAGCCACTTCAGCATTTTACTAAAAGTTATCATTCTTTGTGATCCTTTAGCACAATGAAAGTTTTGCATAAGGCGCGCTTCCTTCTATTTGAATCAAATACTGTGAACACTCCTTTTACTAGTCTCGCAAAGTTTTGATCGCTATTTTCCCCCAGTAATTTTATTACGTTGCTCTCTCTTTTAGTGAGGAAGATATCACCAAGACTGAATACAATGGATTCTTTGGAGCTAAGCAACTCTCACCAAGTGCTGTTCTTGCCCAATCAATGGCTAAAATTCGAGTTGATTTGCCTCGCACCTCCTTGATTGAACCTCAGGCTGCTACGAAGATATCTCTTGTTTGTGAGGCTTTACTGAAAGCAATGCTACCTGATACTAAGAAGTAGTTGTCTTTCCTTTTGTCATTGGTGTATAGTATCCACCGCAACTATTGCGCTAACTATATTTTTCTCCCTTTTCAGGTTTCTTTTGCCGATCCTCACTTGCTATGTTAAGAAACAGCCACAGGAAGTTGAAAAGGGACTGCTGATTCTCAACCAATATAAAAGTAAATAATCCGAGCTAAATTTCTTCCCCCAAAAATTCGTTTTAGCGTGGCTATTTAAAATAGAAATGGTGTTAGTATCATTTCCTCTTCAATCCTTAGTTGTAAAAGCCGAAATGTGTAAACATCGCTTTATTTTCTTTGTTTTTTTTAAAGTCCATGAGTGACTTTTGGGAAAATTTGAAGCCTCAGTCCTGTTAATTCTGAATGCAGTACATATTAGAACTGACCATCGAAATATCTAGAGAATTTACTAAAATATTTCAACGCACAGAAACTTGCAAGCATTCTTTCAATACTCTTCGTAGCCGAAAGTGTGCTTTCTCTAAACATTTGCCTGATCATTTCAAATCGCAGAGCATTTAAAGTGGGTTATCTTTCGTGAAATTTTAGGGGACAAATATTTTGAAATTCCCATCTCTCATCTGAGTCAAACCGGCGTATATTATTAGTTCTGCTCATATGTATCCTTCCTTTTCAGAACTAGGTGATTTGCATATGTGGGAGAGGGGATTGCGTCACTTGCAATACTACCTTCAGCCTGTTCGTCTCTTCCATCTCGCATTGGGTACCTACGATCTCGAATTGGCAGAATCCCTTGCCGAACGCTCTCAACTGGATCCCAAAGAGTACCTACCAGTTCTTGCCCAACTTCGAGCTATCACTACACAAAGTAACGGTGACGCCAAATCAAATACTTCTTACCAACATGCACGAATCGATCTCCTCCTAAAACGATATTCGAGTGCGCTTCGTGGTCTCTATTTGGCTGGTCCGGAGCACTGGGGGGAGTTTTGTGATGTGGTTGAAAACCAGAAGCTCTTCTCTGAAGCGCTTGATTTACTCCAGCAGGGTACTCCCCAATTCTCGGTATGTCTTGATTAATTGTTATTTAAAGTAAATACTACTGAATGCTATAAATTGCACGAATTCTTTACAGGAAATTGCTAATCGATGGGCTGAAACTCTTGTAGCGTCCCAGCGTTTAGTAGCTGCCGGAGAGGTACATTTGCGTGCTGGTCACTATGCTTCTGCAGCTCAACTTTTTGTCACTACGCGCTCAGTTCAACTTTGGCGTCTCACGGTTGATCGAGGTATTGGGGAGACCAAACAAGCTGAAAATGCGGAATTCCTTTCTCTTGAGGTTATTAGCACTCAAGCTAGGAAACTTGCTGGTACAATTATTTGCTTTCTTTTTCATTGTTATCGTTTATGTCAGAGTAAACACATTTAATTACGAGAAGTATCTAAGTGGAAGCAATGGATCAGGGCAAATGGTGGAACAAAGGGGGTTGGAGATAAGGATTTATTGAGCTAGGAAATCAAGAGCCTAGTGGCAATTTTAAGCACCCTTATTCTAACGTATTTCACATTTGCCCAGAGTGGCGTTCGGTTCAGGATTTTGACTAGCGAATTAAAGTTCATGACATTGAAGTCGGTTATCGTCCCTGATGATTGAAGTACAAATGGTTAGTGTATTATTTGATATTTGAAAAAAGAGCCTGAAGTTATATAATTGTTTCCTTAATCCCAAAAAAAAACAGAATTGCAACAATCTAGGTGGTGAAAAACGACCAAATACTGTGAAAATATAGCAATTTTAATAAAAAGAAAATAAAGGGCGATAAATAAAATAATTATTTTAAAACAACACTTTTTATAGCTAGCAGCAAAATATTAGGATAAAGCAAAAGCTGATTTATGTCGCTAAATCTGCGGTATTCATTTTATAGACGACCTAAAGTGGCTTGGCAGATATTTGGAGGCAGCCTCTCTCTACTCCGATTACCTAAAGGTGAGTCCATTTCATTCATTATTCCACATAGTTGCATTTTTAGCAGTTCATGCGGTTTCACCTTTTTTCAGGATTACATGAATGCTGCATGCACAGCTGCCGAGGGCGGTCACTGGCTGGAAGCCCATAGTTGGGTTTGTCTATCAATAAAGAACCATTATCTTTCTACTTAAATTTTATGAGTAGGTGGTTTTAACGATTTTTATCTTAGGCCGAGCACGCTAATAATAAGGCAGAAGTCAACGCTAAAATAAAGGAAATTTCTCTCAAGGCTTACTCCGACTTCGTCTCCAGCTTAACTCAAAATTCGGAGGAATTCCGCCAGTCCTTTGATCGACTCCTTGAAGTACGTGCTGAGCTAAAAGAAAAAGCTCTAAATGCTGCCGCCGGTTTTGGGGATGAGGGTATGTCCCTTTTTTGTTATATCGCCTAATGGCAAATGATACCCAACTGCATGCTATCTTGGCTCTTAGTCTATGACGACACAGAGAGTGAGCTTTTCTCGGACACCGGAAGTGTAGTAAGTGGTTTTTCTTCGTCTTCTCGGAGTAGCCAATACTCAAAGACTTCTGGGTAAGCTAGCTAAACTCAACTTCCAAGTTCCAATGTGCTATTCAAAGATAGGGTAATCGTATGTCCTTGTATTGCAGACGTTCACGAAAGAATTGCCGAAAACGAGACCGAAAAAAGTGGAGCACTAAAAAAGGAAGCAAGTATGAGGAAGTGGCCCTTATACAGATTCTGCATACCAACATTACTGCATGTCAGCGTCTTTTTGGTGAGTAGTTGTTTTACAGAAAGCAATACATTACCTTGCATATCATTAATGCTTCAATTCTCCTCTTGAGTGTAGAAGGCGTCGCGGAGTTAGTGAAGGAATTATGGCGTCATTGTCTCTCTGAGGAAGCTACGAAACTTGCTCGACAAGCCAATAGTCTTTTGCTTATTCAACGCGCTTCCTTGAGTATTGTTTGGTGCAACAAAATCACAGGGGAATGGGTATGTTCTATTGCCTATCATTTACCTCACTTTGTGACATTAAAAATTTATAGGCAGATCTAGTTAACTGAATGGTTGATCATGAACGGGTATATTAGACTGTGCAATGTCCTATCGTGTTTATACTTTGTCATTTTTAATTACTTGATAGTGGAGATGATGATAATTGTCATGATTCTTAACTATGCAATCTAGAGTTGCATCGATGGAAGCAGACGATTTTAGAAAAAAGTTATGAATTCTAGCTCATTTTGTTTGAATATTGAGTATTATGTAATTTAGGTATTTCAGCAACCGTTAAGGGCTTATATGAGCACTAATTAGGTCAACTAGTCACTTAGCAGAATCAGGAATTTGATCTTCGGGAGATGATTACATCCGTATCGTAAACCCCCCAGCACTTAATTTTGTTACAATTTTCTTCCTCTCCTAAATGCACCCATTTTTCTCATAGATAACGGGAAGAATGGATGACGATGGCAATTCAATGATACCAGCAAGGCGCTATCCATTCCACGGTAAGAACATTTTCAAGTTTTATTATGCACAATTTCGGCACAGTAGATTTATCGTTCTCACCTACCAAATTAGAGGTCATGGGTTTGTTTCTAATCGACGCACACCCAGTGAGCGGAAAGGCAAGCCACACTAGCTAAGTCTGACTAATATAAAGAGACGCATTTTTCGAGTCTCTACACCTACAATGAAGACCGAAAAGCGCTCTTTTAGACGATCATGGGGACTATTAACAGTCCTTTATTCCATCAAACGCAACTGGGAATTGATCTAGTCTAGTTATAGAATAATTGGACTTGGGGTTTATGGTAACAGCACTAACGAATAAACTGGGCATATTGCTAGAAGAAATGAGGGTATATGAAATGCCAAATAAGATGGTGATTGATGGGACACCACATTTTGAGCGATCTTATATTTTAAACCTCAATTTTTTCCCCATTTCCAGAGGCGTTTCTACTCTTTCCGCCAACTTTGACAATTCAGCAAATAACTTGCGATTTCTTGTGAACAAAGTCATTTCTTATAAATGCAAATACTCGTTTTTTAACAGTAAAATAAAATCCCATTATTTAATATTGATACTTTGTTATCTCATTCACTGTTTTCAAGTAAGCATTATCGAAAATAAGAGGAGCAAATTAAACAGACGAATGACAATATAATTAAATGACAGCAATGAGATTACCAACGATGTATACAATAAAGGCTCATCCATCTTCCCCAACAGTTGTACAAATGGCCAAAAATAGACTGAAGCGAAATTAGAAATAATTGCAGCGCATACATAAGAGAGCACATCATGAGAAAGAAATAAGACCATTTAAAAGGCATACGAATCATGATGGCGACCAAACCGGAATAGGAAGCCAGCAATAAAAATGAAGAGATTTTGCAGGAAGAGAGCAACACCGGGCCAAACTGGTTTTATATTTCCTGTCACATAAGATGCAAACATAACCCAAGTGGCTGCGATCAGTGTCACAAAGTTGATCAAAACGCTAACGAACAGGAAACCACATGCCCGCGGGTCCTCGATATCCCCAGAAATCTGAATCAATTATAAGGTGAATTTAGAATGAAGAGAGAAACAAGTCTTATAAAAATTGCTTACTGCATGGTGGGGAATTATATTAAGAAGAATAAAGCCAACTGTAGCGATGGATCCAATTGCATGGACCGCATGAGGAAGCGATTCTGATCCATAGCAGGAAGCGGCATCTATCATTATCCACCATCCAGTAGCAAATAACAATCCGGAAAGTATAGATACGATTGTGTTTCGAGCACCAACATTGATGCGAAATTCACTAAACCGCTGATAAGCTACCATTGATAAAGGTCTTCAATGGACCCCAATAGCCGACTGAATTTATGCTGCGTAACAGAAAATGACCATATTAAAACAAAATTTGGAATTTCAAATTCAAAAAATTAATAAATACAACTATTTATCTGTGATCTATAGATTAATTCGTTTCATATGCATTTCTGTCAAATCTCTCACTTATGCGTTATATATTCTCCCAGTTTGTTAAAGGCTTAGTTGTATATACCTGTGGACAAGCTAGCATGTCCCCAATCCATTGGTAACAAGCCTAAGAACATCTCCATCTTCATATCCTCCGATTTCCCAGTGAACACATGCACCTCTACTAGAGCCCGTAATTATTTCCTTCATTCAATTCATTCCTCCTTACACCTCCTTTATATATAAGACAAGTATAGTTATATCAACTTTTAGGTAGAGGTCTGATAACAATAAGAAGGCATTCGGTCTAAGGAATCGTCGACTTCTTATCTAACCACTCGCCTTAATCTGCAACAATCAACTATTGTCGAATTTGGCCCCTCTTCCTCCCCCCATTCCCACTGTTTATTACATAGAAGGAAAATAGGATATGGAGGCAAGACAATATTAATAATTTTGGATATCATTACCTTGCTTTGATCAATTCTTTTTAGTAAAACAAAAAAACTACCGAATTCGAAAACAATACAAGAACCTAGTGCTGAAATTCCATAACTTCCCAAAAATAGAGTTACCAGAAATAACCAGGATTTATTATTACAATCAATAATATCCAGAATGGCTTAAAATGCTCGTTCAAATAGTACAATAGATAATAGATATAAGTACCATACAACTATTTCTATCGCTCACAGAATTCTGAGAAAACACGAGCAAAAATTGCACAGAAATAGAAAGGAGAAGGGTGGAGAGAACAAGGGGATGAGATCAAGAGGGAGAAGACAAAAATGAAAGAAATGTCATCACACACACGCATAAGTTATAGATTCTTCCCCACTTGACTCCAATCTATTTCATCCACAAAGCTGATTACCTCGATTACACCAATTCTGAAGTAGCAGTACTCTGAATCCTCATGTCCTTCAACATGGCCAGGGCCGAGTATATCCTCTGGTGCAGTAATCAAACACTTACTGTTGAATGTAGGACTAGCTCCAGACATACCATATTTCATATCCTTGTCGAAGAAAAGTCCACACGGGCCACCATCTATTCCTCCCCCGATACCCATTTCACCATGTGCACATAACTGGTAACGCGTCTCATCACCTCCTAAATAAACGTAGGATTCCATAGGTCCAGGTCGAAGACGGAAGAGCACCGTCGAGGGATCGCCATAGTAACCTTTACGTGACGAATCCCAATAACTTGTAACGTATGCTCCGATTAGACCCTTTCCAGATAGTGTCGACATGATAATAATATGGTCAGGTCGGCTAATCGTGTCCTGATGAGCACGAAGTCGACTTAACAGAGTTTGCATAGAGTAACCATCTTCACTTGAGGTATAAACCAACTTATCCTTCATGCATTCCAATATGACTGGATCCCTTATATGAGAACGAACCCAGTCCATTTCATCAATAGTGGCTAGTTTAGAAACATTAGGACGTTCTTCGCCAAATTGGCGAACTTGAAAATCTTCCTTGAATCGACGAAACGCTCTGTAAAAGTCAATACGAGGGGATGCGCAGGGCAACACTAAGGAATCTTCAAGCGGCACATTTCCAGGAGGATCTAAAGTAATGTAAAATGCATCAAAAAATAACAAGTGTAGAAAGTTTGCAGGGCTTGAAAATAGCAAATTGAAAGCAAGACTTCACCAGTGTCATAAGAGGAAATTTTAACACGACAAACAGTACATATTCCAATTTGGGTTATAACAAAATAGTGAATCAATTATGTGAACGAATCAAAATCTACTTTTGAAGTGTGTGGTGGTCATTACACTCACATAACAGAAATCCCTTACATTACTTTTATTTAGTCGTTGCATTGCCTAGAATTAGGCAACACACAGAATCAGGCATTAAATAACAATGGATGAAAACAAAGTGAGAAAAGAAACGAAAATTCATTCATTTTATACCGGGATTACCGACTATTGCATTTCTACATTCATGATTAGATACGAAAGATCACAAGTGAAGCATATATTGCAACATTTATGGAATAAGCAACTATTCAGCAAATTAACACTTATCCCATTTTTAATAATCTTTTTTTCTCCAGTGTTGCAGTATTGGGGGAAAGTGGGGCGGAGGGGGGAGGGGGTGTTGGAATAATAAATAATAAGAGCAGGGCAAAGTAGCATCGGTTAAAAACATCACCTCTTTCGGAAATATAACTTGCTAAAGACAGAAAAAAGAGCAAATATATATTAAAAGGATCACTAGATCAACTTGAAACGAAATGTTCCCTCTATTTTCCCTAAGCCTTCCTCCAAATAGGTATCGAAAAAAATGAAGACTATTAGAGTCAACGGTAGTGGTTAGGTACGGTTAATAGGAATCAAATCAATACGCTGCTTCCTACCTTACCTCGAGTCCCAAATCTCACTAGAAAAAAAACAAAGAGTGTAGAATAATAATATAAGTATCTATATGTCCCTCCCCTCCTTAATGGCATAACAAAAATACTCACTTTTAGCCAATTCATCACCGCGTTCTATAGCAGCCGCAAGCCGTCGCTTAGAGAGCTGGCGGATTTTAAAGGCCTTTTTGAGGAGGTTACGACCCGTCTCTGCGGTGTACTTGGAGGCCTCAGAAATGAGGGTCAAACGATCCGTTAACCCTGGAAATTCACCGCTTTTTTCAATTGCAGACATCTTTTTCTGCCTGTTCACAATCACCTCTTTCCAGAGCTAGAAAGAGATAAAGAATTATTAGAAGGTATAGCATTTGACGAAGGCCTAAAACGCTCTCTCTACTTGTACACAGGACATGCGTATTCAACTATACGTTAATAATAAATGAATGAATTTTAAATAGCAGACAAAACAACGAAGTCCGTTCAATCAACACGGGATGTGTTAGAAACTACAATACTTCGATTTTTAACTAAAAAAGGATTGCATTTCATGCGATATGCTTTGAAAACCTAGCAATAAAAACCCATTAATACAAAATCTGTACTTAAGGTTGAAAACACGGGTTACATGCCCCTCAATGCAAATCCATTGGGGGGAAACTGACATCAACACTGGTTTTACAAAGAGGTGACATCACGGGTTTTCTAAATTGCTAAAACTGCACCTCATACAGACCTTCGAAAAATCTTTCAATGCTCGTTTTCACTAAAGCGTTGGTCATTTTACTGCCACAATTTGTTGAAGCAACCGTTCCCACGCTTAGTTAATTCCACCTCTTAGATATTGCCAATTTTTTCCCTTCCAAACACCTTTTATAGCTCATTTCCTGTCTAAAAAAGCCCACCTCTACTAATTGGCGAAATCACTGTGAATGATAAAAGGATTATCAGTGGAACACGGCAGCTCAATTCAAGAAACTTGAAACCCAATAACAGACACCACCGATAAATGATTAGGCAATACAGTTTGGAATATTTAAATAAAAGAATACGCGATGATATGTTTCTTCCTGATAATAAATTGAGCAAGGACAGGACTGGCCAAAGCACAACTTTCTTTAAGAAGTTCTACTTCCCAAAGAAAACAAGTGATAGCATTAATAAGATCTGCCTACAAAAATGGTCGAACCAACATTGAGATAAATCACATGCAGACAAAGAAATTGTTGATATTCTGTTTAATTAAAAACCTAATGCACGTCTATCATATCCGAGGAGGTCCGATTAACAACACGGGAGACAAAATTCGAGTTTCTGCAAGGAGGGCTCCATACATCTCTATTCAAGCTAAGCGCTAGGGAAACACCTTCCCCAAATGAAACTACATTATCACAAATATTTGCACAGTGAAACTAACATTGAATCCAATCTGAAATTAAGTTCTAGGAGGGGAAAGTTTCCTCATCTGCAAAATTTGACTTTTATGTACAATTCTGAGCTCAGGTGCTATTTTTTTACAGCAAATCATAAATTGAATTTGACTACACACGAATGAGAAATCAAAACATTGATGGGAGAGATGTGAAGAACCGCCATGAACAACGACCCATCTCCCTCATTTCACTTTCACCAATACTAGACTCAACAAATTCAAGCACAAATATACTCTAGAACCCACTGGATTTAGAATGAGCCAAATTTTTGCCTGAGAGCGGCGCTTTTAAGTGGAGTTACATGTCAAGCCTAATAAAGAGAAGTGACAACTCGCGCACACGCACATCAGGAGAATAAAGGGGTAACACAGTAAAACTGGAATTAATTTTTTTGTAGAATATGAATACAAAGGCCATTAGGAACGGATGGGAAAAAAAATAAAAAAAACACGAAGAATAAATTAATTATAACCTCAAGGAAGCTAGTCAGGTAATCTAACCAAGTCGAATCATTTATAAGAGGTCTCGAAGCGATAACTCTCCCCAGCATCACGACAAACAAGTGAACGGAAAAATTAATTTCCTAAAACACACGATCAGAAGCCGAAGAGCAATCGGTAGAACGCAAAATCATTTTTTTACAAAGAGACCCACTAAGAAGTATAACCAACTCCTAGCAATAACGGCCATTATTCAATCAATAAGTCGATAGGTGGACGGCTAAATCGCCTGTCATCTTGCTTGAGGAGGAATTTGATTGGCTCCGATAGCAAAGCAAGGTGTGCATCAAGAAACAGGGGGGGGGGGGAGAGCGGAATTATAAACGCATTTGCCACTTGAAAATAAAATACTCCTTTTACAACCAATGGAGGAACATATTTTAGACATTTCATTTCATTAAAAATTGCTCATTGCAGTTTACTTTTCTCACCCCCACCCCCTTCCCTTTCGGAGAGGTAAACCTACACGCAAAGCATTTATTTTAGAGTACAAAGTGACAACAAGCTGCAAAATTCGCAGAGGGAAGATGCTATCGATTGAAGGAGTTAGCTTGTCCTACTTACGCAAGTACAGTACAGCATATTGAGTGAAAGTCAATGCTACTCTATTAATGTAGCGTTGGAAACAAAGCTCACAAGAACAATAATAAGACCGGTCACAGTACCTTTTATGCCGGTTAAATTGTTTAGATGGGCTTAAAGTCCAAAATTTTATCCGGTTTAAGCATTTAAATGCTTAATCGTGGTTAAAGATTGTACGACTAAAAGAGAGGGAGAGGGGTGGTAACGATCTGCTTAACTAAACTTACTTAGTTATCCACTAAAAATGTATACTATCACCCCAATAGGATAAGTCAGTAGAATTGTAACCCGCGTAATATCATTTCGGCTTCCCAATCATTGGAAGAAAGTGGGTGAAAGCGCCAAGGCCTGCCCTTCTTGATCGAAAATCATCGCCAATAAGGTATAAGCATATTAATTGAACTTTGAAACATGGAGTGACCAGTTAGTAAATATGCTGAGTCTCATCCTTTAACTTTGCTCCCTGTGTTCACTTGGTCATTCCTATTCAGTGCCATTCCACTTTATTCATACAATAATGGCAAGTATTACCTTTGCTTGATTAATCAGAAATTAACAAAATTTAAAAACAAGATTTCGGATGAGAAAGAAAATCTGAATTTGAGCTTCTCGCAAAAATAAAACATATGTATTCACCAATTTAAATTTAGTAGGATTTTTGATAGGCAAGATTGAGTGTGGAGGAAGTAATATTGCCCTACGACGATCTTAAAAAAGCTACAAAATCCTGTGAGTCAGATCTGCTTCCAAACGCTACATTAAGGAGTCATAAAATACATTATTTTAGATGAGATTGAGATTACTCAATTGCAACCTCCAAATAACTTAGTCTATGGCAAAAAAAACAGTACCAAAATGTAAACGTAATGACTACAAAAGTAGCATAATTATAGGGCATAGGAGTTAATTTCATCAAAAGGACAGGGAAAAGACAAAAGTCAACATAATAATAATCCATTTACAACGCTATACATTTTCTTGGTAGTGCAGAAAGAATGGTTTTAAAGTGGAATATCTTTCCTAGAAAATAATATCAACCGAGGCGTTAATTACAATGAAATGGAATGAAATAGGAAAATTTATCAAAGCCACAAAATTGAAAAAGAAACTCACTCACTAAATCAATAGACATTTTGGTAAAGAAATGGGAAAATGCGGTTAAAATTTTCATTAAGCTCAAAGGACTAATTTAGAATCGGATAGACTAATAATCGCTCTAGGCTCTTACCAGGTTAAATTTCGAACCAAGATTCAAGATGTCATCATAGATGCCACGCAATCGAAATTAATTGACACAGCAAGTGATAAGGTTGCCCAGCAGCACTGTTTGACACAGAGGATAAAACTTTCTCAAAACGAATTTAAGAAATGACAAACATAAAGAGAAGAGATTAACCAGAAATAAGAGCCAGCAAACTCAAGCAAAAATAAAGCAAAAAGAATGAATGAAAATATTTTTAAGCATATTAGCGGCTCTAGTAACGGAAATATTCAAACCAGTTCACATTTTTGCCCGCATATATTGGGTTGGCAACCAAGTCATTGCCGTTTTTGTTGACAGATTCACTCTTTACTTTCTTTTGTTTTGTTAACGTGGCCAGAGCATCTAACCTATATTTTTTTCTTACTGTATGGGCTTCTAGGTTAATTAGTAAAAAAATTTTTTGTTTAGTTCTTTAGTTTTTTTTATCCCAATTTAAAAATGAAAGAACAGGACGTGAACTTCCGACACATTTTATTGTATTACTTCCGAAAAGGCAAGAACGCATCGCAAGCATAAAAGAAGTTATGTGCCGTATATGGAGATGAAGCCTTAAAAGAAAGGCAGTGTCGAAATTGGTTTGAAAGATTTCGTTCCGGTGATTTTTCACTGAAAAATTCACAACGATCTGGCCGCCCAGTCGAAGTGGATGAAACCCATATCAAGGCCATTATCGATTCAAATCGTCACAGCACAACACGAGATATTGCAGAGAAGCTCAATGTGTCGCATACATGCATTGAAAAAAAAATGAAAAACCCTTGGTTATGTCAAGAAACTTGATTTATGGATCCCTCACCAGTTAAAGGAAATTCATTTGACGCAACGGATTAGCATCTGTGATTCGCCGCTACTGAAACGCAATGAGAATGATCCATTTCCGAGGAAGAACCTAGTTACTGGCGACGAAAAGTGGATAGTTTATAACAATGTTACTCGCAAGAGATCATGGGTGAAGCAAGATCAACCAGCCCAAACAGTATCAAAAGCAGAGATTCACCAAAAAAAGATTATGCTGTCAGTCTGGTGGTGGGATCACAAAGGAATTTTGTATTTTGAACTCATGCCGCAGAACCAAACGATAAATTCAAATGTGTATGTTGAAGAACTCGAAAAACTGACGGATGCAATTGAAGATAAGCGGCCGGCATTATCAAATCGGAAGGGTGTTGTTTTCCATCATGATAACGCAAGGCCCCCCCCCCACACATCTTTGGTTACTCGGCAAAAATTATTGGAACTGGGTTGGGATGTTTTGTCACACCCACCATATAGCCCTGACCTTGCGCCTTCGGATTACCATTTGTTTCGTTCCATGCAAAACTCTTTAAATGGTAAAATTTTTAACAACGCGGATGATGTCGGATCACACCTAATTCAGTTTTTTAATAGCAAAGACCAGACATTTTACGAACGGGGAATTTTTACTCTGCCAGAACGATGGAAAAAGGTCATCGACAAGAACGGCCAATATCTAATTGAATAAAGTTATATTTTTAAACAAAAATTCCGAATTTACCTTCTTATTTGAAATCGGCAATGACTTAGTTGCCCACCTAATATATTCGTCAAAAGGCGAGATCGTACAAACATCAAACTACCTCAAACAATGTAAGTATGCATCCATGTAACCAAAGCGTCAGCAAAACACAATACTTTCCTGAATGCGCCACCGCTTCTAAGCAAAGACCACTCGAAGAGGCACTCGAGCCGCATACAGTAACAGCAAAATCAACAAGTTCACACTTGGTCAAATCTAAAACTTATTAAGTGCGACTTAAATTATCGATGGTGGAAAATAACTGCATCACTCTGATTCACCGATTGGATTAAATCTCCTCCCTCCCCCTATAGCTAATGTAGGTATTATCTGCGTTAACAAAAGTGATAACGCAGTGATGAAAAAGCAATCAATCAATGACTTACTGTAGCAAAAACTTTGGCTATTCTTAAACGGCTCAAATCCATCAATGGAATGTAAATGTAATTACTTGAAGTGAAACTATGCTAGTACGGAGTGCTCAAGTGATAGTACATTGAACATGACGATAATTCACTTAGTGTTAGCCATTATAAGTGCGATGCTGAGTAGACAAACGCAAATTGAATCACAAATAAAAAAGAAATTAGATTTGGAATTCCAAGGTCAAAATAATCTAAGGAGGGGAATAAAAGCGCTAAGTAATGTTGCGGATTAGTTCACTTGTTAAAATCTGATATGTTTACCTCAAACTGAATTTAATTGGCTATTAACAGAATTTCCACAAGTGTAAACCCCAATAATTTATGACCTGGATTCCATAAACGAAATTTTAAAGGGTTTTGTACGATTTCTCCAAGGTTATGTTAGGTTTTAATAAATGAAAAACTAAAATAAATAAACTAAATTTCTCATCAATACAAAGCACATTAAAGAAAATTCGATTGAAGGGAAATCTTACTATACTCTCAAGTTAAATCTTGAAACTTTACACAGGCCTTAGTTTAGTTAAAATATGAAAACCAAATTCTCCCCGTCTACAAAAACGTAAAACTTTCCCAAATAAAGAAATCGGCAAATGTTGCACTAAACAAGATACAAGCGATAGTCCAAACCAGCTGACCCACCTAGTTTGCAATTTGACAGTCGGCAAATCGATTAAGAAGTTAGCATAAGACGAGGAAAATTGAATGCGACACGAAACCGTTCCTTGGCCATAGAAAAAAGTAGACCCAAGTATAAACAAGGATTGACTTGTATGGGAAAGAAGTTATTGATATAACGATTACGTTAAAGTCAACGCCAGCAATACACCATCATACTAGCGATGGTCTTGAAAATGAGGTAGATTAATAATTCAGGGCAGTCAAGACTTTAAATACACATGGAATTAAAGAACTCCATTTTCGTAAACGGCGAATGGACAGGCATATCAAGGACAATGTAATATCACAAGTAAATCAACACGGTTTAAAAATTTTCATCAAATAGGAATGATCAATTATCAATAGTGTAGGAATTAAAAATTTACATCAATTGTTACGACAGACAGGCAGCATTAATAATTTTGAAATAGTAAACCCAAATATGACTAAAGTCAAGACCTGAAAAGTTGATCTTGTTATTTGCAGCCAGTTCTAGGATAAAGAATTCATGAATTTACAGTTGGATCCATCTATTTGGAAGCGTCACGAATTTTGTTAAAATCGGGCCGAATAAGAGGAGGCTGATCGCGCAGTTTCAAGTAGATTGATCAACGCAAATTATTGACAAATAGGGAAACACGAAAAAAGGAATTATCGTCAAATTTCATGAAATGAATTTTCTGCAGATGAACCTCAATGGCTTACACGCATAATGCTCCAGCATAATTTTAAAAAAAGCGATACAGGCTTTCGAGACAGTTGAGAAATATAAAACACACTTGTTCGTTAGTACACTGAAGTTAATCAACAGCTTAGTATTATATAAAGAGTGCATTTACTAAAATATGCTAGATTGCAGGGTAGATGTCTTCAATAGGATCTAATACAGTTCTGGGATTGTGACTAGTTTGGAGGATCCCTCCTTTTTAACAAGGCCCATCTGAAGTGTGGTTCATCCATGATTTACTTGCTTTATTTTGCCTTCCACGATATAAACAACTAGGAATTTGAAGTTCAACGTGTGGATATCGATATCACCCTTCCAATGGAACAAAAGTTTGTATTGGTTAGATCTCCAAACGGAGGTAATCTTCAAGATTAAGTAACTTGCTCATTTAAAAAAATAATTTTAAATTGAAGAAAATCTGAATGTTTACCACAAGTTGCTTAAAAAAACGTTTCGTTTGAAATTTAAGACATACATTGTAAGTGATCTGTAGAATGCAATTATTGATGTCAATATTCGAAATACTATATTTAATTATGTGAGTCATGGTCACACTTTGTTGAAAAAAGCGACCCCAGATTGCGTAACAGCCATGTTGCCTCATGAAATTTTTTATATGAGCCCTAAAAAGACCGACGATAGATTAGAGAAGGGGAAATAGACAATATAGTTTACCGAATTCTACAATTAAAACCAGCCTTTAAAGGTCTCAAATTTAAGGCTTAACATAAACCCGATTCACAAAAGATGTCACTTTAACAGTGACGCAAAAACTTTCCTCTAAATTGTAAATGGAAGTTTTATTTGCAATACGGTAATTAACATTGCGAAATTACCCTTACACGCATCAAAAGCAGCGTGTACTGAACCGTAGACATTACGCATAAATGTCTACAAATGTACACTCAAAGCGTTATCATGCAGATATAAAAGTTGAAAGTTATATATTACTACATCAGTATTCACAGGAACCTATTCAGTAATTCAATTCTTCAATTAAATGATCGCGTTCCAATCTATTATTAAAGGAAAATTTAAGCAAGAACAGTGTAAAGACACAATTGTCGACTTCATCCATGCATTATTAATAGCAAAATAGGAAAAAGCACACGAATTCCCTTGTAAAGAGGACCATTTACCATCCCTGAGTTAAAATAAGCCTGTCCAACTTTGAGGAAAGCAAAATAGAGTAACAGGAGATGGGTATGAAAGGAATTCTACTGAAATCACCCCATTCCACAATCGAGCTATCAAACTGGCTCTTTGTCACCTCGGATCTACTAACCCGTCCACACTAGCGGAAGAAATTGGATCACTTGAAACTAAAAAAACCTCATGATTTTTGCAATTTAAATCATGTTCATATACAATTCGCTCTATAGGATTTATTGGTTAATAAATTAGATATGAAGAGAAAAGTATCTGAAAATGTTCATACCGGAGTTCTGCTGTCATGGACTACTGGGAAGAAGAGACCTAACGAAAAAACTACCCTAAAAATGGAAGCCATCACAAAATTCTTTAAATCTGGTCAATTTAGGCGCTTGGTTTCAGACGAATTTGAATTGAATTGGATAAATTTGGTGGCAAATCGCCTGGAATTCACGTGTCAAGTAGGAGTTCAATTCTCATAAGACCACACCCTTTGAGAGTAATGGCCAGTCACAATTACTAAGTCTGCCTAAAATATAGTAGAAATGGGAGGAAACAAGATGACACTCCCAACCAAGGATGAGTGTGGGGAACACTTTCCTAAACAGGCATTGAAACAACTACTAAGAAAACCAAAATGAATGTGAACCTTCGACCTAAGAAACTTACACGCCTGCTAAAATTTTCATTCACCTGAATGAAATCTAACCTCAATCTAGAAGCTCGGGACAGAGGGGAATTTTCAGGATTTGAGCTACAGAATTGCCTCTATTTGTTATCCACCCTGTCGAAAGACTACATAATGAAGGTCTGCACCACTACGTGAAGTGTAACTATGACACAAATTGGCAGCTTTAAACATTTTTAGGTTTACCAGGAACATTGCATATACGTTATAAACCTACCGAAACTGAACAAGACGAATCGTTGAAAGACAGGATCAATAGTGCTGAAACAATTCAGCGGTAAAAATCATTAAATCGATCAGATTCCGACTATAGTCTATGCATCTAATCAGCAGAGCAGAGACACCTATTAATGCGAAACGAATTATGATATTAAGTATTTAGGTGACTCAATTAGGCATCAAGCGTTAAATTCGAATAAATGCCAAGGTAAATTAGCAACTGGAGAACACCTTTTCGATACCTCTACAGGTGGAAATTTTATTAGCAAACTAAAAATTAAAACCAGCCGAACCGAAAGAGCTGTATTGAAAAATAGACATTTTAAATTATTTAGAACAAGTTAATGTAGCATTCAAACGCAAAAAAAAGCAATTCACATAGTTCGAACATTATAAATTTTATAAAATAAGATGGAAAGCGAATGTACACCTTTGGACTGGTTTTATAACTAGTACCTAGACTAATACATTTTGAACAAATTAGAAAATTGAGCAGATTGAAGAGGCAATTAAAAATGGCAGTCCGTATTTCCGCATCGTAACCACAGGCGAAACACGTGATTAGACACGACATGTTAATATACAAAAGGCCAATCGATGAGACACATTGATTTTATAATACAGAATTGCTCAGAATTATAATTTCCAACTCCCCTATTAACCACAAACCAAATATGCACATAAAGCCACATAGTGAGTGACCCTAACGACCGATCAGTTATCGATTCCCTCGCCTCATGTCGGTTCAAGATTGCTGATATCATTAAACCCATTAAACAAACATTGCCTGATATTGGCCATATCTGCAGGCAAAAATGCAGACATAAGCAGCATAAAGTAATCCAAATCAGTTAATTTTTCGAACCAATTATTAAATTCAAGATCAGACAATTTGCAAATTGAATGAGTTATACAGCCATCAAGTATGGATAATAGCAGGGAATAAATTTGTACGAATAAAACCCAAGTAAACTAATACGAATTCAATGCAGCATTAGGCGAAGGAGAACAGCAAGAGGATTAAAATTTCCCTATCGTTACTACAAATTGTGGCAAAAGTTGAGACAGGCTCGAATAAAACTTAGCTAGCAACCAAATTCCAATGAATTAATAATCTAACAAAATTCCCACAACCAGTAACATTCTCACAAGAGGCCAAAAGAGCTACATGCGATTTACAAGCAGAAGCTAAAAGAACAGTAACCATAAAAAAATACAAATGAGTATTAATATGCTGACACTTTCAAGTGCATATAACTTACCACGAGACCGACTCTAAATAGCATCTTAAATCCTTCCGTTATGAAGTTATCCATCAAGGGGACCATGACCTCAAAGGGAAAATTAAAGACAGCTATCATCCAGTTATTTGTTTCATCAATCCTAAGCGCTTTTTCATATCTCTTTGACTTAGAATCCAACATCCTTCCTTTTACTTTCAGTGCCGCGAGCGCAGAACGATTGGCCACTTTGAAGGGCAAGTTGACAGCAACATTCGAAAGGAGAATTTCACGCATAGCAAGACATCGGCTACGCCAGATATTGCCTGTTTCCGCGATCCTCTCATCTTCGCTCTTGTCAAAGAGCATATCCAGGCACTCCACAACAACCTTCGGACGGTGGTAGTGCAAGAGAATGGCGCAAATAGGCCAGACATGGGGTGCGTAGTATGTCGCTGGACGGGCTTTGGCGATATCGTGGAGTACAGCAGCGAGAACTTTGCGGCCGCGTTCGTTCAAGTGGTAGGTGGGAAGAAGACGCTTGTCGGCCCATTTACGACCCATGTCAGCGCTTTGATACTCTGGAGGGGGCATTCGGGCCTCCAACTCGGGAGTGGAATTCGGATCCTCTAGGCGTGCCTGGGTGAATAAAAATCAAGTAAGGCACGAATAGGTAATAATCATTTATTTGAGTATTATGAGTACCATACTTAAAGTTATTCCAGAAAAGTAAACGCATTAAATAAGCACTCCAAGAAATCCAAAGACAAGACGAAGTATCGCAAGCTTTACTGCATGCCCATATAAACAATAAACATAAACATTCACAACAAATTTGATGGAAACATCCACCAACAACTGCTTTAGATAGAGCAGACAAAACGAACGCATATCACAATCGCAATTTCTGTAGTGCTACATATTGAGGTACTGGGTTTGGATTCACGATAATGCAATTGAACTAACCAAAAAAGATATGGTCAATAATCAAACGCCACGTACTTAGCGTAAAGTCAGGGGTTAATAGGGGACACTAGTACCCAGGAGAAGGCAAGAGAAAATGTTAGTTTTAACAAGACTTAGGCTACTTAAATTAGAACAACATAAGGAAAAAGATATTTGCAAATATATATCGCCTTGGCTTTGAGCAATAAAAGGTTAAAGTTCTCTGCACTGGCCGCAAAAATACATTGGTCCGACAGCTTAGTGTCCTACCTAATAAACAATTTAAGGAATTGAGTCTACCGATCTAAAGCTTATCGGGAATGGAGAATCCAACTAGCTGATTCTTTATTAACAATGGTAGGAGAGAAATTTCAGGGAAACGGTGGTCTCTTAAACAAATTTAATGAGCCAATTGGTCAAGAGGATGACGATTTCGCAGATTAGTTTCACTACCTAAGCCACCACACTTAGATAAAACAACAAGCTTGCGGGGTGATTGGAGAATGTGATAGGCGTACAATAACTTGGTGAACTTACCAAAATCAAATATTAGTGCTCTGATAAGGTACTTAAACAGATATAAATGGAGCAATACGCAACTCTAGTCCAGCTAGTTTCTTCTTTTTCCCTCAAAATATAGTGTGTGATGTCAGTGCTCACAAGCATTAAATTCGGTAGTATACACGGTGTAGCAATGATGCAATTAACCCATCAAATCGATTTAATAAGAAAACTGAGATAAGTTGATGCAATACTCAAAAGACTATACAGGCAAGCCCATCACAGTTTGAAGGGTCAGTTCAAATTAACAGTATAGTTGGAACGGTTCAGTGTCTGAGACACCATTCCAAGGAGTTTTGAAGAATAACATTCATGCTCAAACAATGTTGACTCCACAAGAAGATCAGCAGCTGACGCGTAGTCGTTTGAGCTTGTTGAGAACATGGTCAATATGCTTGCTACATTATACTTTATTCAAAGGACTTATCAATAATGCTCAGTATGATTATCGATCTCGTATTTTTTTTTAATCAACTTTTTAATTTTTAAATGACTGTTGCTTATGAACAGAAATGCATGAAATACACTCGAAATGTTTAAGTGATTAAAGTGAGCAGTGTTTTATTCGATTGTGGAGAAAAATCAAAACCAGATTTTATGCCTATCATCAGAAATGACTAACCATATCACTCACGAATCACGCAAAAAAACTTGAAAAATTAGAAACCCAAGTGAACAGCAGTTAAGGCATGATGAACTTCTAATTGAAGCATTCGAATGGCTAGATAACACTGAGACGCCAATAGATCAAACGACAGAGTAAAATGAGAATCTGGAGAAGTTTAAAGTTGCCTTGAATTAAACAAAATCACGTTGTATAGTGCAACCGTTAGCCTATGAGGGAAAATTCCCCACCTTATCCAATGATTTACTGTATCGACTTTGGTTGGCATAAATACCTAGCTTACTCAGGTGCGATAGCAAACGAAAAGTTGAACCATGAAACCAGTGTGCTACATCATCCACCATACCTTGAAAAAAGCCTTATAGCCACAATTTCCATAAATAAACAAACCAACTTAGATTGACAGAACCGAGTGACTGAAATGAGCGAAATGGTTTGATTAGTCTAGCGTAGATTAAAGTTGATATTTAGTTATTAAATCCGTCAAAGCAAGAGATAACACCTTAACATACGAAATTGCTTCACGAATCTCATCCGACTACCGAATAAAAATGATTCAATATCTAATCATTCAAACAACCTCACTGGTAAATCTCTAAAAACCGAAAGTGTGAACTCGCCCAAACGCTTGGATGCTGTAAAATGATATTAATATATTCCTATAAAAAAAGCTTTAATTAATTCGAACAGCGAATCTTGACAACCCTGATTTAATAGCAACGAATATGCATAAAAGTACTCAATGAAATCCAAGTTGTCCGTAAAATTAAAATATCAATAAATAGGTAAGTTTTAAGGATTCCGCTTCGAAAACAATCGAATTAAACAATTTAAACTACTTACAGATCCAACTGTAAGCCACAAAATATGAGCAGTACACCAAAGAAGTAAAAGAATCGCTCTTGGCAATCAGTGAAAACACAAATAAGGTAACAAATAAATAGGGTAATAGCTGACTAATATGCAAATTTATAAACAAATTATATAGGTTCCACAAGCAACGTCCTCAAACAGCACGGACCTCATTCTGCAAAACTTCACATTTAAAACTACAAATACTCTCATGCAAATCATATGATTTGCCTAGGGGAGAATTGGTAGGATCTGGAAACCACATAATTTTGATTCATAGTAATAAAACTTACAACACACTTCATATTAAAGTGTGATTCACACAGGAATGGCCAAAGTTCCCTTCTAATAGGGTGGTTAACAGGAAAGTCCCATTTTCGAGCTGCATGTTTGCGAGGTTTGAAATGAACTAGGCATTCTTTCTTCAAATCGTCCATACTGTAATCTGACGTTACAGCAGGGAGAGACTTTATGTACTCCTCGTCTACCAATTCTGTGAAAGGGGACCTAAAGAAAAAAATAAAATTAAATCAATCAAATAAGTAAACTAATATCCATATAATCAACTAGGAACATTAGTTTGAAAATAATTGCAACTTCTAACCATGCTAAGGAAGAAAAAAAATGGAAAATATTAAACATAGCAAATCAATACACGTCTTTGGTATACCTCGACATGATGAGATAGTACTGCGTTAACCAATAATCGAAGTAAAATCAATCTAAGAACTTATATGGGAACGAGCACATCCATTTATAGTGGCCGCTGAAGTCTATTAACATGATTCAAGGTTCAATTTTTGATTGGTTAAAATTTTCACCTCAAAATAATAATAATTAAATATATGCAAACCTTAAATTTTAATTAAGCTTGCTTATTAATGCCTTTATCAAATTTATTCTGTAGGCATAATAAATGCTGTAATTCATATTAAATATGACCAAATATTAATGACCTTGACAAACATCTGGATATTTCTAAACCAACATAATAGCCTTCTTTGTAAATGGGAAAGCACACTAAGACCGAGGTGAAGGAACACAATGATATTAAGCATTCTTCCAAACATAAACATAGACACACGCATAGGAAGGATAAAGAAGAAAAGGAAAAAATAAAAGTAAATAAGAAAGAAATTGAAGTTCATTCAGCAAACGCTTGGGAAGATGTGCAGTTCGAGTCCGAGGCGAAGAAAGAAAAGTTTCTCCGTCTGATGGGAGCACAAAAGGAACGTAAACATGCAGGAACTATTCAAATTGGCGAAAAACCTGTCAAACATACTCCTGCTGGAGTTGGGGTTGATGAACTGGGCAAGAATCTCGAGAAGCAATTTACCGAGGGATTAGAACACAAAGCTCCATGGAATCGACACGCTGGTTTGGGATGTGCTACTGAAGGTTCTTCATCTCTTCATGAGAATCATTCTGGAGAGGAAGAAGGCAACGCTAAGTCCTCATTGTTGAAAGGAAAGTACATGACTTTTGTAAAAAGCTCAGACAAATAAGGAAATCATTTTTGTATGTTATATTTGTGTTTTACTGATTTTGGCTCTTTCCCTTACATTTTAGAGTGCTTGTCATTTTATGGTTATACAATTTGGATTTATGTCTACACGTATATATTATGATTTGTTTTAAACAGTTTCCTTTATTGAAAATTTTCTGCGTACTAACGTCTTTTGGCCGAATCTTTAGTTCCATTATTTTTGGTCAAAGAAATAAGTGTTTTTATAATAGCTTAGAATTTTGCATAAGTGTCATTTCTCAAACTCTCACATGCCTTAACAATTTCTCGTATACATTTTAATTTACTCCTAATGTTTCTGTGCTTTATTTATTTCTCATGGCTGAGTAAAGGATACTTACAACATTTTGCTTTTGGGGGTAGGTATAAACATGCGGGGGTCAGTCAAAATGTTCTCAGGCAAACCCCATAATTTATTTATTTCACAATTAATTACATTCATTTTTTTCATCTATTCTATTGTTGTCTATACACTTTTTTTAATCTATATTTCCACTCGTAACTTCTATCGTTGTAGATATTTTTGCGAAGTCTCTGGCAACATGAAATAAAATGCATTCTCACTTTATATTAAGACTTAAATCTGGTGCTTTTAAAGTGTTCTTTCAGTTTTGGAAACGAAAAAGTCTGTGGGATCTAGGTCTGGACTATGATGAGGATGTGGGAGTATTTCCCATCGAAATTCGTACAAAAGAGCCCCACCAGCTCTTGAACAGTGTGCAGAGGCATTGGCATGATGAAACAAAGCCTAACGGATCAGTCTATCAATGGCACCCCATTTGAATCCCAAAGAATGGGGGTTCATGGCCTTCTTAACGGGCACTTCAGCCTTGAACTTGACAGGTCAAAATGTACCCTATGGGTTTGATTCTGTTTACTGAATGGAATTAGTTGATCTAAGTTTCATCTCCGGTAACACAGAACTTACAAAGAAATTATCCTCATTTCTTACCTCTTTGTCAAAGCTGATTAAGAAAGTTCAGCTCTTTGGATAATTTTTTGTTCCTACAACGCTTTTGGAACCCATTGTGCTACTCCATGTGCGCTTTCTACTTAATTAACAATTTTTTCAATTGTAACTCGTCCATCTTGTTCCACCAGGTTCTTCTCGATGGAGGTGTTTTCTTGATTTCTTGCAGTAATAAATCTTCTTTCTCATGTATCGTCATCAACTGGCTATCTTCCCTCCTTAAAGCATTTAATCCATTAGTAAATGGCTGCTCTACATGGTGCAAAATCTCCATAATCCTGTTGTCAAGCTTGTAAGGTCTGAACAAGTTTTCAATTTAGTTTTGTTGAAAATGTAGAATACATATGCTATTTATTTGCGGTAAATTTACGTCCGAAAACAACAAGCTATTTGTAGCTGGAATTTTCATTTAATACTTTGAGATAATCCATGCTATTATTCGGACCATTTTTACCTTACATCTCCCTTCTTTTAATTCCTTATTAATGAATCGATTTTAATTTTGTGTATTAAAGGTGCATTGTCTATTAATAAGTTTATTTGCTAAATGTGTGAAAAGTACAATGAAGTATTGAGACACTTCCAGTTCAAAGAACTGCAGTTTACATTTGTATTATTTTGCTATTGATTTTTGGTTCTCTTTTTCCACCACATTTATTGCAAATCATAAGGGAAATAATGAGCAAAGCGACTTTAAAGAGAAGGAAGCATCTGAGTAAAGGAATCAACAATAGAATAAGTAATGAGAAAGGAATTGAGTCAAAGTAGATTTGGAGTTGTGACCACTAAAATGCTTGCCAGTCGTGTACTCTAGTAACGCTGAGTTGTCATTATTTATTTAATTATATTAAATGGCAGGCATTTTGATAGCTATCATTAGCCCTTAGTTGACTTCGGGCATCAAAGTCACAAAAAGTTGAGTGGGAGGAACTGAAGAGTATTTCACAGATGTAAAATAGACAGACACAAAATAGACAAAAACGTAGGATGAGTATCATGAAGTGGTCGAATAATGACATACATTGGGATCATAGTAGTTTGAAGTCAGAAGTCAACTACCGGTTTATTGAATTTTTGTCCTATGAATATACGTTGCCCAGGTTGCTCCACGTGGAGGTAAGTCTATCGCGCACCCCAGTTGTCAATATTATTAGAAGTGTTTGAGCTCTTCCCTAATTTTTTAATGTTCCCATTTAGATGACCTAACTGAAAAATGTTTTAAATGGGCTTTCTTCGTGATTATTGGTAATTATGGTATTTTGTGTCGTACCTCTAATTCCTTGTACTTTTCCTTTTGTATTCGGGTTTTTGAATTTTGTTCAATTTAAAAACTATTTATACAATAAGCCTTTCATTCCTTCTACCTCCTTTGCAATAGTTGGGCATTTGTTTCACTCCTGACATGTGAAATATGATCAACCTTCACGCTTTTCTGGTTAGTTCAGTTATCTAATTTAAATAGGGGTTTTTTCAACTCGTGTTCAAGTAAGTAACAACCAGTTATATGTTAGTATAGCAGCATAATATGATAACAGCAAAACTTCTTTGTGAAAATTTTCTGCCAATGAACTCTTGTGGTTTGATTGGCGTCTGAATTCTTGCGTGTTCATTACGAGGCATCTACCCAATTCTTCTCCTGACTTACCAAACTCCAAATTTTAAGCCATCGCATTTTGGAGCGGGGCCAATTGCTCTTTCTTTCCTACTTAGGTCTAGTCCTTCTTCGCTCAAAACGCCCTCCTTTTTGAAACCAACTTAAACTTGCTAACTTAACCATTCAAATGTTCTTTTGTCGAGGTTAAAGTAGCTGTTTTGCTTTTATCATCGAATAATTCACTTCATTATTCACTGTTTTACAGCGATTTAGACTATTACTCCCCTCGTTTTCACTTGATCGTTGAAAAATGCTCTTCTAGACGAAATTGTTATAAGGAAACGAAGAAGAAAGTAATTATCAACTCAGTATTAAGGTTTTATATCTATTTTTAAGAAATTTCAGGCAGTTATTGTCCATCTTCTCTACTTATGTAATTTTTCAATGCTAATCTCGCATCCGGGAATTCACGTTCTTTAAATGCAGTGTAAGCGATAGAGGTTCACCACAAATATGTTTCTAGCCTTATTTCCAAACGACAAACCTGTTTACATAATGGTTCTGCAGGGAAAGAATTGTATGTACGAAAAAGCCAATTAAACTAAGCCAAAGCTAAGTATGATATCTCCTAGAGATGCAACCAAGTTAATGCATTCGGATTTCAGCATTCCGGGTGAAATTGTTGGAGGTCTAGATGATAGAATTAGACGCATGGTAGAAACTCTCAAATAATTATATGTAAGAATTGAGTAAAATTTAGAGAAGATGAGGGAGTAGATGTAAGATTGCGCTTAAGGAGGCAAAAAAATGGAACGAGAACATGGGGAAAATGTTGGATTCGAGCCTCGTCATCACTAGTCTTGTAATCACCACATGTTGAATTTTACAGGAAAACTGGGGTGAGTACAAATGGTCAGTCGATAGCTTCGAACATCGGCAATGAAAAACAACCGGAATAAACTCAACACGTAATAGCGGTCATTTTTCAAAGGAATTTAAACTAATGGTGCTGAAAGAATGTTTCCGAAAAGCACTTAGGGGCAATTCTTCAAACTCATTCTCGCTGTCCACGATGATCACATTCATTATACTGTTCCATACAGACCGGAAATAAGGGCGCATGGCAAACAATTTAAATTAATTGATTTATCCTCTCATTTAGTAGGAAGCTAACTCTGTAAACATATATTGCGTTATGTGTTTGATTGGGTTATTGATTAGTCTTCTCGTTCGCAAAGCTGTAGTAAGTTCTTGTTAAATACCATTGCTACTGATTTTTTTCAACAGTCTTTCTATTTAATAAAATTTGTGTTCCTTCTCACTGGTTTAAAACACTATTTCTTAGAAGATGTAGAAAAATCCCCTTACCTAACATCAACAGGACATTCAATTACTCTCATATCTGAATTTTGGTAAATTGGGCGATTTATTTAGAGGTGTAGGATAAAGAATTAGTACTACGTAGGGAATGCTGATGGTGTTTTAAGACGAATTACAGTCTTTTGATTTCATCTAACAGTGACGTCAAAATCACTCAACGCTTCCTCGTAGTGTGGCTATAAGGGAAACGCTTTTCTTTTAATCAAACACATTAACTGCGGTTGCATATTAATCAATTTTTCTTTTGTTTAATCAAATGTCTTTTCTTCGGATAATGTACTGTAAAAACCAATCCCTATTTTAACAAACAATGATTTTTAATATGATAAATGTAAAATTTAAGCAGTTGAAAAATATTAGTAGAAGGACGGAAATGAACGGAAATATTATGAACAAACGGACAAAGATTTGGAGTTGTTCTCAGTTTGCTACAGTAGTTTTGCTTGGCATATTGAGGTGGATAACGAAATAAGCTGTACTAATGCTATCATTATAATATCACTTACCTTTACCTTTATTTTGTGATAGGAAACCTCTGGCTTTTTATTGCAATATTACCAAGCGTTAGCATTAAATATGCTTAGTATTGAAAAAATTAGGCTATGGTTAATTAATTCATTGATAATCCAGCTTCATAAGTGTCACTCATTTCAACCTCTCCTGTACGGACATACCTGGAATATACTCACGTACGCATTCGTGGGCAGAGTATATATATTTTGCATTTCCAAGATCAAAGAGGTTTTGTTTTTTCGATGCTTTTGTTTCTAGAGCACTTTAAACTAACATCTTATTGCTATTTCGAATTATATTTCATATTGGCGATTTTTTTGGTTACCAGTAATGCTCAAACGCAGGAATTAATTCTGTTTAATAACTCGGATGCTAGACTTTGAATTTTCCTCTACCCACGAAGAACCGAGGTTTGGTGTTTGCTCTACTTGAAAAATTGGCCAAAATGAATGAGTAGTGAATGATAATTGTACAGTGTTACGTTACAGCTCATATACTATTGGGTGTCTCTGTGATATTACTT